TCTCTAGTTTTGTTGCATGAGCTTACACATCAGTACAGAGAAAATCTGCATTAGCTACAGCTTCAGATGAGCCCTGTGAGGATAAATGTTTGTAATGTAATATGTCTGATGTGAAAATAGAAACAGTAAGTGCACAGTTTCACTTTGTTAACTTTTCACAAAGGTTTTAAAAATATTACAGCACCACATTTTCACAGGGGATGAAGATGATACAGGGTAGTAAATAATTAATWGATTACAAAAGGAGAGATTTTATGACACCTCAAAGCACTGGGAAAGAACTCTTTTCACAGTTTCTCTATGGATCCTTCTGAGACTAATTTCAGAGAGAAGAAATTGGAGATTTTTTTTTCCCCCTGATGCTCTTGGCGAGGTGTGCAACACACTGCAACATAAAGAAGCAGTGTTCTAGATAGATGGATAGATAGCAAATCCAAATTGTTGGGTAACGTCATCTTGTAATYATGCACTAAGGAAGGATGTCACAACAAAATGTTCTTTTTTATGCTTCTCCACACAAGGGGAGGCATCAAAAAACATGCAAAAGCAAAACAGATTCAAATGCCCATGAGACTTCAAAGCCCTGGCTAAAAATATCCACTCTGTCATCTCTTGCTATAAGATGGAAATTGGAWGGGTACGGCACTGCTGTCATTTCAATACAATGTTGCTGCAACTTGCATGCTTCCTTTTTCCAAATCCTTCAAATGCAATATTACCTAGGTCAATCTGCACACRTGTTTGTGGCTAAACAGATAGATCACATCAGATTCTAACATGTTGAAAGGGGTAGATATTATATAAATAAGTTATAATAAAGTTCAAATAATCTTTGATTAGATTAAAACTTATGCTAATAAGAAAAAAAAACTGTGATAAAAGCATGGTGTCTCGAGCAACACCGCAACTTCACAAACAAGGTCTTGGTGAAGGATGAACATATTTCTGATTCAATCTAATTGCTCATTCAGGAGTTGATGCTTCATGTTGAAAAGGTTTGAAATGTAAAAAAAAGATAAACAAAATCTTTTTTTTTTACCGCAGCTTTGAACTTCAAACAGCACCAAAGCTTAACTGAATGAGCACAAAACCAAAACATTGTGAGAAAATCCACAACGGATTCTATACAATTAGCAAGTGAAAATCTAAAACCTTAAATGACTTTTGGAATCTTTTGAAAATAAACACTGATTAAGGGTGACTCTCCAAGTCGAGAGTCCATACATTATTGCGAGATGCATATCTTCACCTGATGTGACAAGTCAGTACTGGCTAAGCTGTTGCCACTTTGCTCCCAAGTGAAATGTAAAATCCTTAGAATGAGTGTGACACTGGCTTGTCACAAAATGTGATGTAGACACTAATAAAAATTGGAAGAATGAGCTTTCCATTACACTGAGCCGTACTGAGTTTTTATTATCAGTAACAGGCTGAATCGGGGCTGTGAGGAAAAACGAGTTCATGTTCCGTCATGAGTACAAACAGAGACTGATGATAATGTTTACCATCAGATAAAAAGATTTCTGTTATAGAGTTTTATTCCACAGACACGAATCCTTAGATCAAATGGGGTTTGAGTGATTCCAGCTTAAAACTTGTTAAAAGTCATTGCAGTATTTAAGGAAAATCTGGAACAAATGAAATTATTTGCATGCTCAGCTTCCTTGTTTTGTTTTCCTAAAACTTATGGGAAAAAGACCAAATAAATAAATGAAGTAAAAAATTACTGAAACRTCTTTTAAAAATGGAATTGCTAATTGCTATTACACCTAAAACTCAATCCAACTTCCCAGTAAAATAGTCTGCTTATTGTAAAATAACAGTGTCCTGCCACAAAGACAGAGTCTGGCAAATTGCAGATTTTTGTTGGCTGTGAATTTGAGGAGGACTTGCTATTTGTGTTCCCTGGCAAGGAGGACAATGCACCGGTGTTTTTCTTTTTTTAAATTAAACAAGTTCTCCTTAAGTAATACTGAATGTCTTGTTTGGCAGTCAATAATTTACTCTAGAATGGCATGCACAATTTCTGTACCTTTTGTTTTGTATAATAAAGTTGCTTATCTGAAATCCTGAATTTTGTTGCAAAAAAAGCCCATTCAAGTTTAGAAAGCTCATTTAGGTTTCAGACTTTAGTGAAGTAAGATAATCAAAGACCAAGAGAATYATCAATAAATGGACTCCAACATGGGCCAAATGTAATGTTTACTTACTAAGGTTACTACCAACATTCACAATTCCTTGGGAATGCAGGTCTTTGCTTTAATCTATAAATGAAGCATTGCCCCCCCCCACCCCCACCACCACATTAAAATTTCTCACAAGCTGCTCCATGCTGTTTGAGATGCATCACAAGTGATAAGCATGCCGAATCACATAAACAGCATCTTCCCAGACCACCTGAAAGGCTCGACTCAAGTGCGCCAGAGCACTTGAAAAGAAATTAAATTGTTGGGCGGATGGCGTCTGACAGCTTATCGATAGAAGGGGGGATTCTGGTTGAGGGATTGAAGGRAAGCAAAACACTAGCAGAAGGCAATGAGATTCTGCAAATGACAAGAATGGTATCGCTGGAGTCCCCAACAGATGGAGAAGAAAACAAACCTGGCTGCTACATTTCCTGGTTGCTAAGCACCACCTGGAGGGAATGAATGTGTTGACGGTCTAGGAGGCATGAGAGACAAGAGGGAGAGTTGAGCAGTCTACTCAGAAACATCGGAGAGTGCAGATTGCTGTGTGTCCTTGATGTGGGTCACTACGCCTGTAGATATGTGCACATATTACATCCATGAAAATTTATACAGGCAGAAGAATGTAAACACAGATGGCCCAAAACAGAAAATTAATAAAAGACAGTTTTATAACCTTTGGTAAAGTGTCCACGCATGTTGGCATTATRTTAAAACCCCCAAGGGTTTGAACCTTTTGAAGGTTAAGGCAATTTCCTACCCTCGTATTGCAGCCATCAAAAGATGGAGTGTGTGGACTGTAAACCACACTGTCATGATTTGAATTGGATTTTTTTTGAATGAGGAAGGTCATTTCTCTACTTCTGCCTCTGCAGGAGCCTCAAGGTAGCATTTGATAAGGAAATATGACTCACCACACATCCAGTGGAATCGAGCTTTCGGTCAGATATGCAGCGGAAGTTGCGGCTGCAGCCTCCATTGTCTTTGGTGCAGTCTCTGACGGGTCCAAAGGAGTCCAAGAGAACCTCCAAAGAGTCAAAGGATGAGCTGATCATCAGTTCTTCTCTGCAAATATAGAAGGTGGTGGCATAAATTGGTGCTGACATTTGAGTTACAGTTGTGAGTCAATACAACTGACAGGTAAAAAACTAAAAACCACAGTTTAAAAAGTTTGTATAACTCTTGGGCTTCAATGCTACTTGTAAACTTAGCACCAAAAGTAAGGAATTTTGTGTTTGGTASRCTTTGTTGTAACAAAGTTTCTTGGCAATAAATCTTACCGGGCACATGACTGGTAGCACCTGGGGGTACCAGAAGCTCAAGGGTCAATAGCAACAGCTTTTKGACAATAGCAGAGAAGATTTGTAAACTATTTTAYAYGTGCAGTACACTTACTCAGCTCTAYTACTCATCACACAAATRCATGTTCCTGAAAAATGTGGCACCATTTAAAAGGGAAGTGAACAGATTTCCAACAATTCTAGGTGTATTGCAGAGAAGCATTGTTAACAAAGAAATCTACTGAACACAAGTTTCCTTACTTTTAAGAGTAAAATAAGCTTGGTGGATATATGCATAAAATTTTCAGAGATAGTTTTAATAATAGTTTCTGTTTTGCTAAGTATAAGCATATATACTGTATCTTTTCTTAAGCATCCAACAAAAGCTTGAATATCTTTAATSAAGCTAAACAAAAAAAATCATACTGTGGTCAAGACATGAAAGAAATATGTATTTGAATAAAGTTTAGAAGTCAAATATTCACTGTTTGAATTATGTTAATTCATTGTATTTTATGTATTCATTCCTTACAAATTAATGTATCACTTTTCTTTAATTTGTTGTGTTTTAGGTATTAATTCCTTACAAATTAGGGTATCACTTTTCTTTATATGGGGTTGTGTTGATGGAGGAATAGTGGGACAAAGGAGACATTGTGAATGCTGTGTTTCAGCTTTCAGCATTAGAAGATGTTCTCTATAAAAAGACACTTTCAACAAGCAGTTTGACATTAAAGTTGAATGAAATACTAACAATTTGATGTTTAATTCATTTTGTGTAATCACCACCTGAAACGCTGTGCCTTTTAACAGCACGACTGCTGTGCAAAGTGGGAGATATTTGAGATAAAACGTACAATGAATTTATTATTTTAACCTTGCTGTGAGCAGCTGAATAGCATAATTATTATTATTTTCCACCATAAACCTTTACCAAGGTCAGTAAAAAAACACAAACAGAAAGTAGGATAGGTTTTTGAAACGAGTGGTGAAAAGAAGGCAGAGAGGACCTCTGTGTTTCCTCACAGAATGTAAATCATAGGGACGTGTCTGAAAATAAATAGGGCGACTAATGATAAAAAATAACTCTGGTAGCACCGCTGTTAATCTTGCCTTTGGTAGAGATAATTATGACCAATTTGACAGTCAGAAAAAGAAGACAGATCTACACAGTGGCAAACTTTTACCTGCAAGAAAGCTGGCTACTCGGTTTCCCAGTCAACTTGATGTTATCTCACAAACCAATTCTTTCCATTATAATTGGCTATTGCTTTGTTGTCGTTCATTCTGCAGGGACCTTTCAAGCAGAACCTTTGTAGAAGATGAACTAACATCGAGTGTGAATGCTAAATTATTGCTGAAGTAAGATTGTAGGCAAGACACGTCCACTTAATATGAGCAAACCCAGTGTACCTAGAACATGAATTTAAGGACTCGATGTTGGCTTTGAGGAAAAACATGATCATGAGCTGCAGTTATTTATGGCTGAAAATAAAATGTGTCTGGACATTCATTTCGCTGTTCAACAAGACTTGAATGAACATAATATAAAAGTTTCACTTTTTAAATGGAATTACTSAAATAAATAAACTTTTTCATGATATTCTAATTTTATGGCCAGCATCTGTAGATTAGAAAATGTTTTGGGWGCCAAAATGACATGTGGGCTATGGACAGCATTCAAAAGAGAAACCATAAGGGTTCCATTCATTCATTATCTATTACCCGTTTTTTCATTTTCGAGTCACGGAGTCATGGTGCCCTTATCCAGCAGTCAMTGTGCGAGGAGCCGGGTWCATCCTGGACAGGTTGCAAGTCCCATTAGAAGTTCAAAACTGAAAACTGGAATTTATCTCAGGATAAGATATTCCTCTTACTTAAATAAAATGGTGAAGCAAATACTACCTGCTTTTTCTTCAATATTTTTATGTGGAGATTAATTTAGAGAAAGATTCATATTTTATTCAGATTTTTTTTGTTTCTTTGTCACAAAAACCCCCACAATTCTAACCAACTTTATTTATCTTTTTGTTGCACTCCAATAGAGCCTCACTGTTTTCCGAGACCCTTTTCTGATGGATCTTTGAAAGATTTTCTCTGTAAAACTTTAATTAAAAAAACTAAAAAACAAAATTGTGGGAATGATTTATTAAAAACTAAATACATAAAGACCTTATTTATCATGTATGTGTAGGCGATATAAGAAACTATTGGTTTAATTATTTTATCACTGAGAAGTACTAAAAAAGATAATCCAAAATGTATTTACTTTTAATAAAATAAAAAAAATACAAATAGTTATTAATTTTGTGGCCACAACATCAGCTAATAAGGTAGATAAAATCTAGATTCATTATTTATATTTTTGTTGAGGAACATTGTAGTTACAAATGACAATCAAACACATGAGAATGTAGCTCAGAAGGAGCATGTTTCAAAAAAGGCGTTAACAGTGTCGTCTTGTGGCCCCTGGGGAACAGTGAGAGGAGTGTTCATTAGATCATAGATCAGAAGGAAATGAGTTATTTACACAGCATCTTGAAGAAAGCAGCCAAATGGAAATAAAATGTTGAAAAATCCATTGACATTGTAATGAATGTGTGTGAACGAAGCAGCAGGGGAAGGAAATGAGAGAATGAAAGCATTTTGATACATGTGATGTCTGACAGTAAACTTACAAGGGAAACTTCTTTTTATCCAGTTTTTCTTTAAACGATGAAAAAAGCAGTGTTGATGATTCAAACATGGTCACAGTGACATCTTTTATAATTGTGATTATACAGTGATTACTTAACTTTGACATAAGTGTCAAATAAAGGAGAAGTTGTTCAACAAAGTTTTCCTTTAGAATGTGTAAAAAAAGTGTCATGAAGCAGAACAAGGGGCACTGTAACAATCATAACAAGAGTACTGCATTTGGCACATTAAACGTCCTTTGACAATCTATTCTACAGTAWTCTATAGCAATGGTCCCAAGCAATCAAAGCCTTGTATAACTTTAGACCTTAGAGTGGGGGTGATGGAAAGTGTTTGTGACATGCCATCTAGTGATGATGCATATGTACATGAAGTTTTGTTAATTTATCTTTAACAGATCCAAGGTTCCTACAGCTTAAGGCAAGATAAATTTAAGGCTTTTTAAGACCTCTTTAATGTCACTTGAAATGAAAGACCAACTTCACAATTAACATAAATCAATAATAAAAAAAACAGTTTGCCACAATTGTACCAAAAAGTTTATTTTAAGACAAAACAACTAGCTGTGAGATTTATTTATTTAGAGTCATGTATTTAATTTTATTTTAAAAATAAACAAATAAATAATGTTACCAATTACTTTAAAATTTGAGACTAATTTTACAATGTGTTAACATTTTTAAGTCATTTGAAACTTTGATTTAAGACATTTTAAGGCTATTTAAGGCCTTATTTTTGGATTGATGAATTTAATGCCTTTAAAGACTTTTTAAGGATCAGTGGGAACCCTGAGATCAGAAGTTACAGTCAGAACTGGATGACGTTTGTGAACATAGCATCTTATGTAACAATTGATTAAATACTGTGAAGACGTATTATAGAAATAGTGTTAACATATGTCAGTCACAGACTTAATAATTAAACTTGCTCACTTCTGTTTTGAGTCCTACATTATCCAACCAGATGTGGTGGAGACAGCAGAGGYAATTAGTAACCCTTACAGCTGGAGCCTGAGCAGTACACACAAGTCCTAACACCTTGTTCATTCAAAACTTATTTGAATCAAATTGGTGACGTACACCCCACAACAAGCAGCCTCCTATTTTTTTGYGGGATAATGAAGCCCTTTCTGTTCTCCATTCCTGTGCGCAGTGCAATGAGACAGCACTTGATGAATGGCCGCTAAGATACTCTCAGGCGTTTCCTCAGTTCAGAATAATGAGATGAGTCAAGTGGCTCTAAGAATATTTGAAAATGTTTTTTTGTCTGAAAATAAATCAGAGTGACACAGGTAATCAAATAACGGCATGTCTCTGCCTACTGGTGTCAAAAGCACTTTAGGCTCTCAGTTATTTTTATTTTAATTCCTGAGAAGTTATGATTAGATTGTTCTGTTAAAAGTACAAAAAAGTGCCTGTCTTATTATGCTTTAAGTATGTACATATGTTCCATTCAGCTATATTGTAAATAATGAAAAGAAACGAAAGCTAAATAAACTCATGGGATTTAAAAGCTGTCCATCACAACTTGTGCTTAACTTTTACCATTAAATTCAGAAGAGCATATTGTGATCTATACTGTTYGACTTTTCTGTCCACCCACACTTACCATCCATTTATTTTGGGATTCACAGATTATAATAATTGATACTATCAATATGGGAACATAAGTGGAAGTATCCAAAAAAAATGATTAGGCAGAAAATCAAAAATGTTTTGAAAAATATGCAAAATACAAAATATATATATATATATATTAATAATACACATGGATTTTTGGTGATGGGGTTATTATTTCACTTGGTAAATTGTGATTTTTTTTTGTCTCCTCAACATCTTGATACTCTGTCTGACCTGACAAGGTGTTAAGCATCAGCTTTATAACAGGGTTTGTGGATTTAAGACTTTTATCTCCTTCATTTAGGACTTTTTGGTTTTATTTGTAGCACTTTTTTTTTTTTCCATAACAGTTCAGGTCTCCTCCGGGAGATATAAGCTTCCACTCAGCTTGCATAATTTAAACAGCAAAAATTACTGCTGAACACAACTGAATGAGATATGAGGCAATAAAAAAGCACAACAGTTGAAGCCCTGCAGACCTAAAATTAAATAAAAAAAGACATTCAAGAAGAAAAATGTTTTGCTCCACACAGAGCATAATGTTTGAGAAAATAGCTATTAAATTAGGCAGAGGACAATAAAATAAAATAAATAAAATAAAAACTTTACCCACTTTTTACAAAACCTGTTTTTTTAAACAAAGGAAGTCAAATAACTAATTTWCTACCTACATTTTGTGCTAATAAGGTGAAAGACAGGGTTGGGTGGTACTGCTCACTTTCATATCGCGGTATGACCTTTAGAAAATACCGGGTATAAGATATTACCGGGCGGAGGCAGTGGWGGTGGCACTAAACTTGATGACTACAGCCAGCAAGGAGTAACGTGTCTTAAAATGTTGGTCTGCACAAGCTCGCAGGTTTGTTTTTTTTTATATCCCACTTGGAGGATGGAGAGATGAAGGCTTGGTACAGTTTTGTAGAATATTTCCACCTTACACTGTGAGCAAAATAAAGTAAAATAAATACATTGTTTATGTTTATAGCACTTGGGTCTAAACATTGGTCATTCCAAACAAGGCTGTTTTGTTATGAAGATCTCTTCTTCACTAAATTGAGCCAATTTAGCCGCCCACTGCTAGCAAAGCAAAGTGGCTGAATAATTCTGTTGCATCACTGATGTCAGCTGGGTCCAATTTAACACTGCAGCTTKGTTTTGGCTCAGTTACTTACTGCTAGCTCTCTGCAGTCCAGACACAAACACAGGCATTGCAAGCAGAGCAGATTGTCTTTGGAGTTATGAACCATTTAACAACTGAAATGCTGCTCATGTCTTTGAAATCACCAGCTTTTTTATTTTTTTATTTTTTCCTGTTTTGTTTTTACTCAATTTTTTCACACTGTCTTTCTTCTGCATAATTATTTTTATGTTGGATCTCAGGCTTTGTGAATCATTACCACTAAGACGTCTTCAATAATTTCCCAGAGTGTATTAAAACGAATCGCAGCAATAGTAAGTAAAAGCAAATGTTGATCAAGTCTACAGAAGGAGAAATCTGAAAGCTACAATTGTGGAGATGTTTAAAAATTACATACATATTTTATTTGGAACTAAAACACACAAAATGTCAGTAACATTTAAGTGCAACAACAACAAAAATCTATTTATCTGCCATTGGTTAACATTGTTCTAATATTATATAAATATTTAATCCTTTATCCAAGGGATGTCCAGTCCTGGTCCTTACCACTGTCCTGCATGTTTTAGTTGTTTTCCTAAGTTCTGTAGAAGCCTGTTAATTGTTCATCCATTTCAATCAGGTGTGATAAAACAGAGAAACACCTAAATCATGCAGAAAAAGGGCCCTTTTGGACCTGGGCAGAACACCAATGCCTTATCCTGTGTTGTGTGTCCTAAAGGTACAAGAAAAAGTGGGCTGAATAAATGGTCCCTCACCTGACATCTACTGCATCCTCCATTACTGTCATGTCTGTTTTGCATTTGGCTGATGGGTTGATGGCAAGCTCAGCAGGAGGGATCACAAAGCTTTTGCTCAGTGGGAGCCACATCCCCTCTCCCAAGGTATAGGTAAATCTGCAGAAAGACAAGCAAGAAAATAAAACTTACAAAAGAGTAGGAAGGAGGAACACCTTTAAAGGAAGTTAAAACTGGACAATTATACAACATCAAACCTCAAGTTGTTGGTGGAGCTCATGTGAAATGAAAAGGGTTGTTATGTTCATAACATAGCTACAGTATTTCCAATCCCACATGTAACCTCAAGAGTAAAAACTGATTTGATTTAAAATGCAATAAAATGCAGTATTTCTTTAAATTTTCGAACACATATGTCACAACTTTTAGTGCATATTCATATTTCACATGAAGCGCTACATCTGTTGTATTTCTKTCTATAACTCAACCCTATGTTTGCTTGCTGCTGAATATTATTTTGAGAAAGTATCCTAACTTTTGTTTATTTTTGGATAACTGCAACTTTAAGAATGCATCACTTAAGGTCGTGCCTCATTGTGAGGAAATAGAATCTGTGCTTTGTTTAGATTCATKTGTGTTTTATGAAGACGGTTATTTTATGTTTTGTTATTCATGAGTTTATTTATGTTACTTGTGTATGCATGTATACCTGTCACAACTGTAGCCACTTCTCCTTGTTAACCCTGGTTTATTTAGTTGTTCTGTGCTCGTATCCTCAGTAGAGCACTACTGGCTTTCATGCCACAATTTGATCTCCTCATGTTCCCCTGTGTTTCTCCAGACCTCTTTGTGTTTATCTACAGTTTTTTTTAAATAAGTTTATGCTAAAACAACATTTTTTTTAATATTTTTTTTTTAAATACAATTGATCTTTTCAACACTTCTTATGTCATTTGTATTTTGGGTCCAAACATTTTAAAACATGGCTATTCTCGGCTGTGCACAGTGTTTTTGCTGCCCACCTCCACCCACATTAAACACACCTCAGTGGCTGCTTCCACATTTAGGATTTAACTTAGTTGAGTCTACTTCTGAACTGGGCAGATTTGGAACAGTTCTTCAATAATAAAACACATTTGTGTGGTTTTCAGACCTAGACATGTTAAYTCTTAGACCTTTTGAGATTGATTGGAGATGCCCAAAACCTTAATAGGTTTGAAATGTGTTTGAGACACCTGCAACAGTCATAACTTTAAACGTGAAACTTTAAAGGGGACCTAATATTCAAAATTCCCTTTGTATTTTTTTTTTTTTACTCAACTTTGGGTATGTACTCCTTTAAAAAAACAGTCCTATGACCAAAAAAATGCACCCAGAGGCATATTTACTGTAAGTAAATGCATTTTTAATGTATTTTAATGACAAGTTTTATACTTCCTACATTTTGTAATGTCACAAGCCGTACGACAACCCACTGCATCCTGCGTTCAGCCCCTTACCTAGCAACCCCCGGGTGAGGCTCCTCCTCCTCAGTATAAAAAGCTGTCACGGTTGTTGTTGTGCAATGCGCAGCTCATTTTATAACAAGCCTTCCAATAGGGCAATGGGTAGAGTGTTGGACCAGACAGTTGGAGACCAGGTTACAAGACTGACATGGACACAGACCAGGGTTTGAGACCGACACAGACACAAACAATTTAATTATTTATTTTCGTTCATTATGATCAAATTTTCTCATGTACCTCTATTGTTTAGGTTTTAGCTTTTATTTAGCCTATTTGTTCGAGTTTCTGAGGTATTTTGACCGCTGCTGCTCCAATTACCTGCCCTGGTAACAGCATGCAGAGTGAGCGCAGAGCTCCAACAGGAGGAGGGGGAGAAAAAAAAAGATGCGACCGACTCTGCCTCTGGGTCTGACTCAGAGTCTCATATATACGGTTGTACAACGGAGCTTCTGCTATTATTGGCCATGCTAACATAAACGCTGGCTTTGGAGGGCRGAGTTAATGTCAACAGATTTTAAGAGGGCGTTACCAACAGAGCTCATTAACATAAACAGCTTTTTCTGAATGGAAGTCAGCAGGCAAAGCTAGAAAATGGGAAATTTCATTATCTGAGAATTATTTTGTGCATTAAATTGAATGAACATGGTCTGGATAGCCCACAGACATACCATAAAAATTTCTAGCACCCATAATAGGTCTCCTTTAAAGCAACAGGCTTGAATGACTCTGTGATTCCGGTGAGGAAACTGAGAACTCCTAGAAGCATTTTAAGACATTTTGGACCCTCCTTAGCAAATGTTTTCTGTGTACTTGTAGCAGACAATTGCAACTGAGTGAGATTCTGGTTTTAACAAACAAACCGGCCTCAGATGTTGAACTCTACACATGAAAACATTAGTTTTGTTATGCTCAGACTCAATTACTTCAACGTCTACATAAGAGTTTTAGYTAATACAATTGTAAGCTCATTTTGCAAAAGCATGAAACATGGAAGCTCAWTTAAAGTAATCTTCATATTATCAGTTCCATTCCTCTAAGTTTCCAAAGTAAGAAAAACAAGTAGAATACAGCATTGCATCAAAATGTCCACTTGATTGTATTACTGACTCTGAGTTGGTGCCTCAAGTTGATTAGGGGTTATTAACTTAACTTTTGCTAAGCAAAATTACTCTTCTTTGGATAAATTTTTTTCAACAGAGGGACAATGTGTGTTTAAAGACACAATGCATACAAAATGTGGAACTCAGCTAAAAAGAGCCAAGAAGAGTTTCCTCTGAGACCAAAGATGGCGATGAAACTGTAAAYAACAGATGCCTAAACAAAGGCTTTAAAAGTTTGTTTTAATTGGGTTTTTTATGCTTTTCRTTTTATTATTTGGGGGTGGTGGTGTTTCAGTGAATTCCATCTAACTTTAAACAATCTGCAGACAAGTTGTTATTACTCCGACTTCAAGTTAACTAAAGAATGCTGATCAAAAAGACAACTATTAGAACTAATGCATGCTGACTTGTAACTCAAAAGACTTGTTAATTAAACGGTTAACATTTTTTATGCATACTCAACTAAACCTATTTTCTCAATTTTAATGATTTAGTTTGCATTTATTGAAAAGATAACAGTGAAATGAGAAGGCTGTGTGCACCACCAGCCACTTTACCACCAAAGCGATTAGAACACTGCAGAAACAAAAACATTTAATTATATCARCTTAATTACTTCTTTTATTTCAAATTCAAAACTTTGAATAGATCAAAGTGTTGCCGTTTCCCCCACTTTGTGTCATTCTGAGTATTATTGATGCATGTAAGCTACTTAAAACAAAATTAWATTTCCATATTATTACTTGGGAGCTTTTCCCACATCTTATTGCACTCATTCTTCTGTGAGTGCGTACAGCAGTAGATCTATGATTCCCTGTGATGAAGTGTGACGTACGAGGGTGACCACAGGATGAATTAACTGGCRCCTAACGAGCTCCGTTTCATAATGGACAACTGAGGACCCGTGCGCTGCTATATGACTTATTTGGTTCGCCCTGAGAGAAACTGGAGGTGGAAAACACTAAGAGTCCCTGGGAGGAAACGGTTGTTGAGTGGAAAACATGTTTGCAGTCCTTAGAGGAACTCCCTGTGGTTACTTCCGTGCAGATAACAAGTGTTGTGTGTTTGAATGCTGACTCTCAGYATTTATCTTCCTTGTTTGCTTTGCTTCATTTTGCTCCCTATAATAATCTGTTGTTAAACATTAATATATGCTTAAGCAAATTAGAGCTGTGTGACTCTTTGAAGGCTCACTGAAATCCAAGGTGAGGTGCAGGGTTGTTTGGTAAAGCAAGCTAGAGACTAAAATGATTGAATTAAGATGGATGGTTGAATTAGGATGGATAGCTGTGAGAACACTCGGGGGACAACATTTAAAACCTTTATCTTAACAGAAGGAAAAGAGATGACTCTAGAGAACATGCCAACTGGGAAGGTAATGCTTCAAAACCTTTTTTACAGGAAATAAAGTGTTATGTAGCCTCTCCATTCCCAACAGACTGTGCTAACAACTAAAGGAGGATTCTACAATCAACTGTGTAGTTTTATTTTCTAATRAAAGCAGTAACACAGTCAGTGTTTTGTTGCTTTTGTTGTTGTATTGGAAGGAGTAGGAATCCCTYTTTCAGTAAATGGACACAAAGATGAGACCGTCTTTTAGCTGACTCTGGCCGTTCATAAGTCACCAGCTGTGTCGAGCCACATGTGAGCTTTTATAAACAAAGCCAACATTTTAGAACCACAGGAGGTGTGGAGTGTAGCTCTGTGGCACTGATGTGAAGCTCATCGCAAAAAAATAAAAAATAAATAAATTAAAATTAAAATTAAACAAGAAAGTACATAAACATCAGACATCTTCTGTTTTTAATYGTCACACAACCATTTGTTGTCAGCTGCAATGCCAGCTTACTCTGAAATYTACTGATCGTTACTGCTCTGTAACRAGCCTCACTTGGTGGCTCAGAGGTGTAACAGCAGAGGGTTGATCCAATTTCTCATATCATCTCAATTCTTTCATAAATAAAAAAAACAAGGGAAAGAAACATCTCAGCCTCAGCTTGAAAATGTTTTGTGAGGGGCTAGAATGTGATAAAAAGTACAAACTGATTGATTTGTCTTTTTTTTTTTTTTTCAATTCAGGGTTCACACCAACATAGTGTAGTTGTATATAAAAAAAACTACAGCAATACTAAACAATTCTTTTATTTGTTTGAATGGTTGGTTGGTCTTGGATGTGTTTTTAAAAGTTTTGGCGAGAATAGCCTTGTTGTAAGCAAAAAGCTTCAACTTAACAACTAGACTAAAGWCTAACTCAGAACTTTTCCAGTGATCTCATCATTATGGTTTAGGATATCCTTGCATGATTTTGGTGAACTGCTACAATACAACAGATGGATGAGCAGCAGATTGTTGGCAGATGTGGGAAGGCTCTAGCAACTTGTTTGCTCTTTGATGAGCAAAAACAACAACACTAAAAACAAAAGGACTGTTTTACCTGTGTCATTTTTCGGTACCCACTCATTTTTTTCAGAATTGAAGAGGGGCTGTTGGATCTCGTTTCAAAGGCCAGCAAATAAAAGGTGGGTATTCCCTCGACAGATCACATGTTTATGTAGTTTATAAAAGGAATAAATAACTTGGGCTCAATGCACATTCTGATATAGATTTTAGGGGCAGACTGGTTTATCATTAATCTGCACAGAAGGAATTCAGATGGTATTCATTTCTAAGATTGGCATTTACTGTATCATGCCAGTTGCTTTTATTTGCATGTTGACGTCTCACTTCATGCCATATGAAAAATGTTTGAAGTACAATACATTGGTGAAAAACCCAAGAATTTCCACTTTTTCTTTATTTTAGCACTTCTAAAATGCCCAGAGAGAAACATAAGGATGAGTACAGCATAAATCATATTCTATCTTACTTTTGTTCAGTTTGTAATAGTTTTGTTATCTCATGTGAAATATTCTTTTTTTTTTGTAAAAAGAAGAGATGTAGCTTGGAAAAAATCATATTTTGTCATTGCCATTTTTTAGTAACCCTGGACTACCTTACAATTTTCAGGAGTGATCCCAGTGCTTTAAAAAAACACTGGGATCAGAAAAATGTGAATTTAATTCTAAATCAGTAAGCTGGAGCAGAACTAACTACAACAACAAGCAAAGAGATTTCCATAAAAATGTGACCCAGTGTTCTTGTTTTTTTTTTTCTTCTTTTTTCCTTTCAAAAATTTAGAGTGACACATTTTATTTTTATTTCTTAGGTAGATATTATTCAGCCTGCTCGCTGTTCTCATGATCATAAGGAAGAATCTCAATCACAGATGCTGTATCACACATCTAACAATCTATCTGACTGCAGCGCCAGAAAAATAAATAAATAAATAAATATTTGGTTTCGCGAAGTCCTCCTTACCTGAAAATACGATCAGAAGGTTGTTCTCCCATCACAAGATCAAAACCACGCTGGAAGATGGTGTAAGGCCAGGGACTTTCATAAAAAAATAGATCAGACAAAAAAGCAGAAAAAGAGAGGAAGAGAGGGGAAACGGATTGTTAAATTTTTTAGAGTACCCACACTTCTAATTTAAACTATCCAAAATTCCAACTGCCTTTCAAGTCCACCTGCCTCCGCTCCTGCTTTGAACACACCCTAAAAGTCAAAACAGGATTACACTGTGTACTGCTATGTGCAAACATGCCAAGTGAAAAATGTATTTTGATGCTGCTGACATGCAATGTGACTTTGGCTTATATCTATTTACTGAGGGAAAGGATGAGAGGTGATGACAGAGTGAGACAGAATGAGAGAAAGAGATGCAGAGAAAGAGGGAGAGGCAGAAGGAGATAAAAAAAGAGCAGATGCTGGTGAAGTCACCAAAAAAAAAGGGACAAGGAGGGAGAGTGAAAAGAACATTGTGGCAATGAGACAGATGCCAAGAGGCAGAAGTGAGAGAGGAAGAATGATAGAGATTAATGGGGAGTGGCAGCTCTGGGACTAAACAGTCTGCAAAGTGAGAGCGTGAGGAGTGGAAGTGACAGGGGCCCGATGTCATTCTGAGCAAACTCCTCCACCACTGTAAGCAAAAAGAACATCAGTGCGAGGGGAGCGCCTTCCATGCCACGGGCTGCAAATCATTAAACATTTAAGTCACCCAAGGCTACCCACTCTGTTACACAGTGACAGGGACAAAGAAGGAGCACCAGGGACATGAGACACAAACATGCACAGTTGGGTGAGYGCCTGAAAATATTCAGACGTCTCAAAAAAGTAGAGAACAGAATCCATGATTTCACCGACACAGAGGAAGTGAATGAACAGAGAAAACGGCGTGCTCTGCTAGTCGCAAGCCCGTGATGTTACAGGTTAAGAGTGCAACACATTCTTGCCATTACCAAATTCCACCTCACTGAGAGGTTTTAAGTGGTGGTAGAACCCTGTGGCAATTTACAACACTTCAAAAAAGTCAAAGTGGGGTATTTACATAGACTTAACATTTCTTAGCATTTCTTAAAAGGTATCCTGTGGAGTTCGAAGGCACAAGCAATTTCGCACGTGGTTTTCTTCTTTGTGTTGCTATACACTTTGGCATGGTTCTGACATTTCCAGAAAAAAAAAAGTAATAAGTATGTGCTACAGCCGAACCTCATGCATACAGAAAACTTCTAGATTTTATTGGCACTCAATTGTCTTCAATCAAATAAGCTGAGCATTACTGTAAAGTAGTCTTGATTGATTTGGAACATAAATAAGACACACAGAGGCCACTTGTAATGTGTTTTCTGACCATATATGTAGTTTCAGGGATTGCAGTGTCCTCACTTATAAATTGAGTGGCTGATTGAAGATTAAAGGCTTTTAAGACCAAATCCGTATAATATTTACAATATAATACTTTCTTAGAAGTTTTCTGCGACCACAATTTTCATAGTTTACAAAAGTTATTTCTATAACAAAACATCTGCCAATTAAAACAGATTTCCAAGACTTATTTGGTGTCTCTGTTGGTTCAGATAACAGATGACCAATAGGACCAGGCTGATGTCTCAGACCTGTCCATGACCATTAGGGTCAGCCAACAACAAGCGGAGCTGTGTTTTCTGAATACACTGCCATTGAGGGAATACTTTCACCGTCCTTCTGTACTCACAAGATCAAGAGCTATATATTGACAACTGATTATTTCTTTCRAATTCCAACTGCCTTGTCTTGTAGACAACAAAAATAGCAGTAAGTTTTCTGGGCATGGAAAAAAGCTAAATATAACTGATGACTTTTTCTGACTTTACACACTTAAGCATTGTAGAACTTTATTTGAATTTTCAGTTTTGATCGCTTCCAAACACTAATTGTCTTTGGCAGCATTACAACCCTTTTTGTCATCTAAGGAAAAGAACTTTTGGCTTGATAGAAAGGACACATTTTTAGTTGTTGTTGCTCTTCTGTTTAATTTTGGCACGATAATAAGCAATCATATGGTGATTATCATGACTTACCCCTGATTGGGGCCCCACTCACTGCGAATGCAGAGATGCTTGTGGACTGGGTCCTTCATGTACCCATCTAGGCAAAGACATTCTCCTGCAAACACAAAGGCAGTTCCTTAATCATGTGTTCATTATACTCCATATATTTTCATTTCACTGCGAATTTCCCTTTACTCCTCTTTTGTTTTATTTCACGACAGTTATTCCAAAGATGATCCTCTTGAAGCAATTACAGCACTCAAAATCATCCCTTATTTTTAACAAGGTAGTCAACATTGCCYCTTCAGAAAAGGGACACATATATTTTCCAGTAGGTGAATGACAATCAATTCTCTCTGTACAATAAACCTATACTAAAATGGTCACTTATAGTCAATGTCATTCAGGCATAAACAACTCCTACAGAGGATCTACTTAAAAAATCATGGCTGACTATTGTTGTATTTAAATCTTTCTGATATAAATCTCTTCATCTATATACTGTATATTAGACAGCCAACATTGTCAATCAACAACACTGACTCTTGCTTTTTAGAAAATATTTCTGAAAGGAAAATACAATTAAAACCTTCATGATGAAGTGAAGCTTTAGTGTAGAAGATCCAACATGTAATACATATAGAATCAAATTCACATCAAAATSCACAAACTGCTTCACAATAAAGCAAGACAAAAATAAAACATCATATTTATAAAAAAGTAGGGGTAAAAATAGGGTAGGATAAACGTATTAAAACATCTAACTTAGCCAAAAGCCTATTTGTAAAATAAAGTCGTCAGATGTTTTTTTTAAGCATCAATAGAATCAAGGCTGAATAGAGACTGAGGCAGTGCATTCCACAGTCACGGTGCAACTACTTGGAAAGCCTGATACCYAAGGGATATTTAAATGGATGTAGGGTACCACCAACAACCTCTAACATGACCTCAACATGCACAATGATGTATGGAGCTAGATCAAATCCAAAATATAAGAGGTGTAATACCCCATTACAACACAGATTTTGAGAGAAACCATAGCTTTTCTGCTTCAATGTACACAACAATAGACCTCATTCTCTCTGAAAGTGAGTTTCTGAACCCAAGTCTCAGAGAGGAAGTTTTTAGGTAAATGCTTTCAGAGGTGTAAAGTTGCTGTGTGCTCTACCCGCRGCTGCAGTCAACAGTCTTTCTGCATTTCCACGAGCCGTAAARCAAGAGTGAGCAACAGCTGATGGTAACGCTCCATTTGTTCTAGTCACACTTTTGTAAGAGCAACCTAACGTCATCAGTGGTCCAAATAAAAGTTTCTGGATTCATCATTTTGCATGTAACTCTTTTGTTTCTCAGACTGCATCTGTCTTGTTGCCTAGCATCAGAATTGCCACCTCCYCTCTTCGAGAAAGCACACCTCACTCAGCACATGATAGTTTGGGCCAAAAGAGAATAATTTTAAAGTGATTGTGAGTCCATGTGATTTCTCATTAAAACTCAAATCTTCCACGGTCACTTCTCATTACCATCTCATTGAATGACAACACTCAATAATTTTGTRCTGTATCATAGTAGCTGAGCCAATTAGCAAAGCCCTTAATTTACTTGACAGACTGTTCCCCAACCCCRTTACTTTTGGGTTCGAATAAAATACCTTCACGCAATAAAAATATTAATATTAAAGTTGACCTTTGCTTTAACGYGATGTAACAGAACAACTTTACATTAGTTTGCCAAACAAATCAGACTTGTTTCAGTGGTTACATGACAAATCTAGTCTAACGGGAGGTGATTAGATCAGTGATTAGTCTAATTACTATTGTCATTATTTACTCAGAGCAAAGCTTTTCTGGAGTTCCAAAATCCTACTTAATTATGTGGCCTGAGGCAACATTTGGGGGAACTAGTAAAAGGATTAGAAAAATTACTGCTCATCTCTATAAACTGAAACTCAATAAATCATATGAAACAGCTGCTCAACCATTGTTTCATGACCCTGTTTGTGAGTTTTTTTTCTCTCTAGACATTCAGATTAGGTGATGCTTGATACAAAGGAATGTTTAATACCTCACCAGTGGGACCAAGTAATATTGATGTGCTATGCTGGCATTGTGCTGATAAACAAAACCTGTTAAGAACGAACAGTGTAGCATCAGCCTATTGTTCTGCTGCCAACTCCTAGGAGAAATGTCAGCATTGACTTGGCTCAGCATGATTGATGAGATCTCACCTTTGGTTTAGAGGGTTACCCAGGGGTAACATGTACAACTTGCTCTCTTCTTGCTCTACARGAGTTAAGTGAGGGTCACATGTTCTGGGTTTTTCTATCCCCTTGTTAATGGAAAAAAAGTCATTTGTCAGTAACTGCCAGGAAATCCCATTCAATGGTTCCCTATGTATTTTATTGACTAAAATGAAATGGCTTGGACTGTGTGGGATTCTACAACTGCTGTATCTATACTTGATGACATAGCTTCGGTCAAGAGAGTCAGTGTTTTCTCTTGAGTTGAGTCAAAGTCWGTTTTAAGACCAGGTCAAGTGTTGTTTGGGATCAGAACAAGATTTTTAACCAACAGAAAACTAATCTCACAAAACCCGACAAATGCTTTGCTTTATATCCATTAGCATTTGAAACCCATATAATTTTCAAATGTTTTTGCTCCATATACAATTCTACTCACCATAGTCATATTTTAATATAAATATCAACGTCAAGATGATAAACTTCATTTTTGATATAAACAGAGAAAAGGCAGGTAGAATAGGTAAACAATCAACAAAAATTGATATTAATAAATAAAATGTAATAATGTATACCAAAGTTAAAATCATATCACTAGTTCACAATGCTAGTCTTTATCCTCTGGAGCCAAAAATCATTTAAAAATCAGAAAATTGGGCAAAAAGTTTAACTAAACTAAACATAAATATGTTAGTCTGTAAACTTTATAAAATTGCTAATTATTAATTCAACAGTGTTTGGTAAGCTATTTTGTGGTGAATTTAAGCTGTAAGCATTTCCTATATCATAAACATGCTTACAGTAGCACGCTCAGCAGTTTTTAGCCTCGCATAACTATTTGTGTAACCTAAATTAAGCTTTCTGTAACACCGCCGCAATGCAAACAAGTTTCTTTAATTATTATTTTAATGACTGCTTTACTAACATGCCAGTTGGCAACACTTCTAACATGCAGATGATTTTTTTCTTAATTAAATGTGCAATAAAAATGATTAAAAGTTTGAAAAAGGAGAGCCAGTTTTAGATACGAAAACAAACTGTGAACCAAAAAAGGAAAAACATGAGAGTAAAACTGAAATTTGATGTGCAGCTGCAGAATAATGTTGTGTCTCATCTAGCTTTAATAGCTATCGCACTTCTTTCTTGGGCTTCTTTCTTTTTTTTCCCTTTTTTGATGTAAGGTGTTACATTTTCTAATTGCTCAATCTTTAGGCACAAAGCACGATTTGAACTTCCACACTTTATTTTCACAGCATTTCATCATTCCGTTTGCCACCTTATGAAACATGTAGCCCATTTAGGTCGAGCAAAGGTTAGCAAAATGCACAGCTACCCATCTTAGTTTTCATCAGTTTCACCTGCAGCAGAAAAGAGGACTGGGTTTGGGTTATATACATATGGCTCCGTACAAACTTCTTGTACCCTAATAATACTTTTACTTATTTCCATGTGTATTATTCCACCAACAAACCGCACTTTTATTTTTATGCATTTGGGCGGTAGTCATTAAATAATGTGTACAAATAGAAAAAAACATTTGCATATTTCACTTTCTTCAAAAAACAATACAGCAAAAGTAATATTCTCATTTATCCAGATACTAGGTATTACTTGTGTATATATGGTAAGTGTTCTACATAAAGATGTTATTGAGTCCAAAATGTGCTAAGATTCAGGAGAAGCTGCAGCAAAACACACAAACCCAGCTTTGTCCGTCCGTCCGTCCGTCCCTCCGTCCCTCCGTCCCTCCCTCCCTCCCTCCCTCCCTC